AAAAAAAAAAACTTCAGTCTGGTCCTCCAACGGGTCTGAGGGACAGTGAACTGGCCCCTGTTTAAAAAGCTTGAGAACCCCTGGTCTAGATGCTAAGAGAAGCCGAAGAAGCCCGTTTCCAAACGAAGACTAAACTCACTGCCAGGCAGTCTCACTCACAGTAACCCTGAGGGCAGAGTAGAACTGCCCCTGTGGGTTTTCAAGATTTAAACTCTTTACAGGAGCACACAGTCTCATCTTCCTCCCTCCAAGGAGTGAGTGGTTTCAAACTGCCTACCTTCTGGTTAGCAGCTCAATACATAGCCTAATTTTGCCCCCAGGGCCACTCACGCCAGCTTCCACTCTGTCCCAGTGGGTTTCTGAGACTGTGGCTCTTCCCAGGAGTAGAAAGCCCAATCTTTCTCCCAAGGAACGGCTGGTGATTTCCAACAGCTGACCTTATGGTTGGAGCGAAGCGCATGTAACCACTACGCCACCAGGGCTCAGGCTCCTGTAAATCGTATCTTTTGCCAGATCAGGGGGGGGAAAGCAACCCATGGAGCTTAAGGAGGGACCATTCCCCTTATTCACCCCAAGCTTGATCACGTGCTTGGTGCTGTGTCTCCCTGCTGTGATGAGGCAGGTTAGCAGAGCCAGTGGGGAGCCAGGCCCTGCACACCCACCACTGACCTTCCTGGGGGGCACCCATGTCCCAGCCGCATGCTGAATGAGGACCTTTGTGTGCTTTTCCTTCAAGTGGAGCACCTTTGGGCTCCCAAATTCACTCCTGTTTTGCTTTTGCTTTTAAGGAGGTATTTGAAGGGCACTTAAAAAACACTGGGACGTTTTTTACTTTCCCTGAGAACCAGCACCACGCGCACCCACACTCTGCCGGGTGTCCACGGAGAAGCGTGTGGCTAAACAGACTTCGGCGTCTGAAAGCCTCTGATGGTGTGCATTACAGATGGCTCCCCCCCCCACTTTGGTATGATCTTGATTGCTGAAGGTATTCTTACTGTAGGTATACTGAAGAACAGGAACCATTGAAGAAATGAACTTCACCTTGTGATGGCCTTGCCAAAAAAGAAGAAGATAAAGAAGAAACCATGGTGAAGGCCTAATTACTGGAGTGAGCATGCCTTTGCAGAGCCAGGGTTAACTGGGCTGCTCCTGGCTCGGTGACCTTGCAAAGCATCCTTGTTCTGTTTGGTTTCTTGCTCCTCGTCAGCTTAATGAAAGGGGTGGGAGGATTGAACTTGAGAGCCCTGTGTACAGTCAGCCTGGAATATCCCCAGAAGGACCATGGGCCTAGGGAAGCTTAGGCAGCCCTGGAGTCCTGCAGCAGAACGTTGACGGTGGCATGGACCCCCAGAAGAACGAACACGTCTGTCTCAGAGGAAGCACAGCCAGAAGGTCCTTAAAGAGCAGATGGCGAGACTTTGTCTCGTGTGCTTTGGGCATGTCATCAGGAGGGACCAGTCCCCGGAGAAGGACATCATGCTTGTAAAGGAGAGGGTCAGAGCCAATGAGGAAGACCCTCGACAAGATGGAGGAAACAATGGCTTCCACAAGAGACTGGGATCTAGTCAAGATAGTGAGGATAGAGCGGGGCCGGACGAGGCTGCGTTCCACCGGGTCACTGTGGGTCAGCTCCTACCCAAAGGCAGCTAGCAACAACAGCAGGGTCGGGCAGATGTTTGTCTCGTAGTGCTGTGAGGAGAAAAAAGTCATTGTGCCCACACAGCACCTGCCGCAGAGGGCATGCTCAGTGACGGCATCCTCGTCCTTCTTCTAAGGACACCCTGGCTGGTCATGATCCGAATATCCCAGTGTGACTTCTGGTACCACCAACACCACCCCAGTCGGCACAAAAAGTATGAGACCCCTGTGCTATTATTAAAGGGCTTGTGATCCACTTGGGAGCACAAGGAACACCCAATGTGTGCACAGAATCACTCGTGTATTTGGAGCCAAAGGAGCACTTCTCCTCGTGGTCAAATGAGCCCTGCAGCCAGAAAGACACATGATCTCATCTCCATTCTGACCACCGCCAGCTGTTGGACTCCAGTGGCTCACGCAAACCCTCCGAGCCTCCGATTCCCCCGCTGTAGACCTGGCCGGTGAGACCTGCCCTCTGTGGTTATTGGAAGGACTGGGTAAGAAAACATGCTGGGTGACCAGCATTCAGCATTCAGTGAGGGATCTTCACCACACTGTGAATTTTGTGACCCAGCGCTCTTGGATGGCAGGTCCGTACTACTCGACAGAAGACCTGGAGGTTGGTGGTTTGAACCCATCTAGAGGCAGAAGACAAGCAAAGCCTATTGACCTGTTCCCCTGAAGCTGGAAGCCAGGAAAACCCTGTGGGGCAGCTCTCCTGTACCCCAGAGACAGCAACAGTTTTCACTTGGGAAGCAGCCCATTTGAAATAAAGACGAGAAAGAGAAGAAGCTGAAGAAATGCAAGTCAAGGAGCAGACAGAGCGGTGACCTGCTGAGGATGCGGACATGCTTAGGTCAGCGTCAAAGGACGGCCGGGGACACCTCCGCGTGCCAAAGGACATCTACGTTAGAGGAGGAGCCAAGTTCAACAGGTGTTGGAGCCAAACTAAAGCAAACCCAAAGTCACAGCCATCGAGTTGACTGGGACTCATCCTGGGGACAATCTGCTCCCACGGTGAGCCCTGACGTGGAAAACCAATAGAAAGCGTTCACCCCGCTGCCAGGCACAGCCCACGATGGCAACTTGGTAGCTGGTTGAATGGTAGCCCCACCCCCCAAAGACTACTAATGAACGAACCAACCCCCACTGCCAGAAGCTCCTTTCTGGAAGGCCTCTGGAGCATGGCGATGGCCTATTGGTTCAAAGTTCTTATCAGTCTCTTGGCCAATGTCAGAAGAGTGATTACCCGCCGTGTTTGCACCCTGGGTGGGTTCATGAACGTCCTCAAAGAGAGAACCAATATAGATCTCAAAATACTGGCACAATGAATGAGAGTTTCTTTGGGGCTTTGCTTCACACGCGTGTGACCTGTTGACCATCAGCCTATGGAAACCGCTGATACTCATCCATGTAACCATTTAGCACAGTGGCTGCACATGTTCAGTTAACCATAGCGAATTTTGATGGAAGCTGAGAGGCAAAGCTATAGGCTAATCCTATTAGACCTATTCCAGGCTGCCCTTAAACGCTTTCACATTGTTTTGGAAATCTCCTGAAGTCTTCTCACGCCAAATACAGCTTTTCCCCCCCAAGCCCAGTAGTAACAGGCCAGCCAGATTGTAGCTAAACCCACATCTCCCACACCCCATTCGGCCTTTGAAACCGAAGGTAGCCTCGGGCTGGTGTTTACAGTGTTGGTTTATGATGCAGTTTGGGAGAAAAGTGTATCTGGCTTAGGCAGACTTCAGGAAGTGTCTTAAAGCAACATGAAAGAGTTGCTTTAAAAGAAGCCTCCCAACCAAGACCAAACTCACTGCCATGGAGTCAGTGCTGACCCCTAGCCACCCCCTGTGCGCTTCCGAGACTGTAGCTGTTTACAGCAGTAGACAGCCCAGCCCTTCTCCAGTAGAGCCGCTGCTGGTTTCCCACCGTGCAGATGGCACGCAGCCCAGTGCATCCCCACTCCAGCACCAGGGCTCCAAAGAGGAGCCTAGCATCCGTCTAACAGGTTAAGTCGATAGTTCTGCTTCCCAGCATTCATCAAAAGCACTATCGATAACCCAGCCCGTACCAAGGGCAGCACTGTGCTGTTTACATGTGCAAATAGCAGCCATTTTCAGAGGCCAGTGCACATAAATGGAGTCCTTGGGTGGTGTCATCGGTTTGAGACTACCCAGAGGCACCTTGGAAGAAAGGCCTGGTGATCTAGTGCCCAGAATTCAATCATCAACAACCGGTGGAGCTGCCGGGAGTCCAAATCAACTCAACAACCAGCCAGGCTGTAGAGAGAGAAAGACTGGCTTAAAGGGATTCGTTCACATGACCGGGCAAAGCTCCGAACAAAAACGAAACTCCCTGCTCTCGCATTGACTCCCACTCTGGTGACTCCAAGAGCCACTGGCTGGTGGCAGGCGGGAGGTCCCTGCAGTCTTGGGTCTCAAAGCCTCTAGGCCGGGCAGTGTGGGGTGTGAAGAGTAAGGGACTTGGGGCAAATGTCACTGTGTGGTCTAGAGAGAGAACACTTCCTAGGGAAAATCCCTTTATTGCTCTAAAAGTCTTCAGGGGGTTCATTGAGACCCACCCACCTGTTGGAGAACCATCTGTTCTACTTAAAGCTAACGTCATCCCCGAAGGCAACTTCACAGCAGCCTCTCAACTCGTGGTCAGCCAATCAGCCAACCACCATAGCCTAGACATATCCTGGGCAAACTGTGGCTCGAGAGCCATATATTTTTAAAGGATATTATTCAGAGAATGGTGATTTCATTTGTTTGTAGAAATAGACTTGTGTGATGATGGCAACAAATGTGCTTCATACAATGGATGGATGGATTGTGATAAGAGTTGTACGAGCCCCCAATAAAATAATTAATAAAAAAATAGACTTGTGGCTCTCGAGTAATTTTTAAATTGTCGTGAAGGACAAGATTGGCTCTTGTGTCTCAAAAGTTTGCCCACCCCTGACCTAGCCAAAGGAGTCTAGATGGCGTAGCGGTTACTCGTTGGGCTAACATCTGCAAGGTCAGCAGTTCAAAGCCACCAGCCACTGCTCAGGAGAAAGACCTGGCTTTCTACGCACATGAAGTGTTGTAGTCTCAGAAACGCACAGGGCAGGTCTACCCTGTCGCTGTGGGTCTGCACTAATTCTATCGCATGAGTTTCTGGCGTTTGTAGCCTGGCCATGTTGACATATGAAATTCACCACTACAAGCTCTTGACTTGGAACCCCAGAGATGAGATTCAGAGGGTCTGTGAACAGGCCCGTAGCCTCCGTAGACACACGTCGGGCAATGTTGGCACGAGGAGATGGGTGCATACCGAGGGCAGCTGTGACAAATAGCCCCTGTGCTGACCCCTGGCTGCTGGTCAGAAGAAGGCTGACACGGCAGGGCCTGCTGCCTCCAGCTAGCTCCTGGGGCAGAGTTCTCTAGTCAGGTGCAGAATTTTCCTGAATGGCTAATTGGTATTTACCCAACCGTTATGGCTTATGCGTGATTTGTCATTATTTCCCTCTTTTCATCAATGACTTGAAAATGTACATCTCAGCCCTCTGGCCAAGACTCTGACCAGTGTTTTCTGCAGAACGTCTGTCTGTCTGTCTGTTTTCCCTGTGTGGCCCTTTTAAGCCCCATCAGTTGGTGTATATTGCCTCTCTGGCGTGCTTACACTTCTCTTTGTCCTGAGCATATCGGACAGCTCAATGGTTTGGCCAGCCCCATCGAGAAGGGCCATCCACTGTGGGACATTTTCCCCTTCTCTTACCTGGTGATGTTTACCATTCCATTTCTGTCCGCTTCCTTCAAGTTCTGTCTTTGGAATAAAGTTTATACATAAATAACTCAGTATCCAAGGGTTGCCACGGGAGGAAGTACTAGCCCCACTAATCCTTCACTTTTTTGTAGGATTTTTGTTTTGTTTTGTTTTTGCAGCATTCTGACTCCTGCGTTTCTCTTCCCTTTAGTCCAGTAAAGAGGATTCCATCCCCACAGGGTCAGAGGAGAATGTAAGTTGCGTGTCCGATGGCAGAGTCATTCTACTCTCCTGGGAAGCATGCTGGACTGGTGGTAATGGCCCCAGCCCTGGGGTCTCATGTACCTGCGTGATCCTAGTGTCACCCCTCTGCCGTAGACTCTTTCATCCACTCACATGATTGGGGTTTGCTGGGGGAAAACACTGGATTTGTAACACGCATGGTTATGGCGTCCCATCTGATCAATATTTGCCCCATAGCATAGTGGGTTATTCCTTGGGTTGCCAACCTCTGAGTCAGCAGTTCAAACCCACTGGTGGCTCCTTCTCGGGAGAAAGACGAGGCCTTCCACTGCCATAAAGGCTCACAGCCTGGGAAACCCCCCAGGACAGTTCTGCTCGGCCTAACAAGGCCATGGTGAGTCCAAATAGACTCCATAGCAGTGAGCTCTGCACCTGTAAAGATGTGCATCCTCCGGAACTCAAAGGATCAGTCTGCTCTGTCCTGTAAGGGTGCTATGAGAGGACAGAGATTCCCAGGCTGTGATCCCCCACCCCTCCCCGGAGCAAAGAGCAGATCTTTCTCCCTCAGAGCTTCTGAGTGGGTTTGAACCGCCAACCTTTCAGTTTAGTGGCCAGTTGCTTAACTGCTGTGCCACTGGGACTCTGTAACACCCATGAGGTCCGTGGGAACTAAATGCAACATCAGAACATGTAACCATTTGTTATTGAGGGGCTGAAAGAGTCTATCCAGTGGGAGAACAGCTCTGCACCCCCTCAAGCCACGCCCTCGCCTTGACTCTACAGTGATTGCTCTTCCACCTGTTCCCATGGCTGCTCAGCTTCTCTGCTCACTCCGGGCGCTGGGGGGCGGGCAGGTGCACCAGGCACAACCACCTGCCACAGTAGAGAGATGCCCACCAGGGCTGTTGGTCTCGGGCTGGGACACCAACTGCCCACAACACAGGCTTTCACACTGATTTGGCCAACCACCCCTTTTTAGAAAGAAAGGGGAAGAAATGACCCCTGACCATCAAAAACGTGTCCGATAGCCCATCATCCAGGATCAAGTCTAGGTTATCTGCTCTTGTAGCTCCTCAGGGTCCCGGGGGCCTCCCCCCCACAGCAGGGGGCGGTGTCACCCACCTTGGGAAACAGTGCTCTACGCCACTAGATTGGAGCTCCAAGTCTTTTTTTTTTTTTTTTTTTTGCCCTGGACCTTGTCAAAGAATGGTCTGGAATTCCCAGAAAGAATGATTCGCTTCGAAGGAGATGAACCCACATGAAAACCCACCCCCAAAAGTAACATAAAAGGGATCTTTCCAAAAACTCTTTAAGGGAGCTTGAAAGCTAGGCGCCTTGAGCATTCCAGACCAGAAATAACAGCCCTCTGCCCTGAGTGCCGTCTTAAGAGGAAAAAAACGAAACTGATGAGTGGGAAGACGTGAATTCACAGGCAGACGTTCAAGACAGAAAACACATTGCTCTCGCCTCGCCAAGGCAAGAGCCTGCTCCAGTGCTTCCTGGGTGTTGCTTGTTGCCCTGCCCAGGACGGGCCCCGGTTTTCATTTATTTCTGTCCCTCTGAAGCAGAGCAGATGTGGGGAATCCAAGCGTGTTGTAGTCATGTTGTCCGTTGGGTGGAAGGGAAATTCAAATGGAGGCGGTGTGTTAGGATTCTCCGTAGAAGGGAGACCTTTTAAAACCCGCACTTTCTGTAGACATCGCTAACCTCAAAACGCAGGTCTCTCTTAGTTCCAGAATGTTCTCGTGGATGGGCTAGCTTTTTGATGGAGACGCATAATCTCTAGTTATCTCAGCCACTGGCAAAGAGGAGCCCCATGAATCGTCAGGCCTCATTGGTTGTTTTGTTTTGTTTTTTAAGTAAAAAGTTACACCCAGAGCATCCATTCCATTTTCAGGGCTGAGTTTTTTTGAAGAAAAAGGAGAAAAGAGTCATTTTGGGGGTGTTAGCGCTCAATTAGTTTTTGAGGAAACCTGTTTGTCTTGCAGCCCCTCCATTCCCACCCCCTTACCCCACTGCTGGAACACAGAGTAGGTTTCTGGCAGTCGGCCCGGGAGGCATTTCTTCCCTTCTAGAGTGAAATCTGAGACAGAAAGAGAAGCTTGCCATGAAAATTCAGCCTTTGGTACCAAAAGATAACATGAAGCATTTCTTTTAGGGAAGCCTCGGAGGCCCCGCTTTAACTGGCTTCGCCCTGCCAAGGGCACTCCGTTGGCTCAGTGGTGACGATGTGTTTCTCTCAGCTCACCCTTGGGTGGAAGGACACTGGGTCTCACCATCTCCACCGGGGTTGCACCAACTCCTGAGCCTCAGTGGACTCATCTGTGCAATGGCAGCGAGCATGTTACCTGCCCCTTGGGGCTGCTGTGAGAATGGACTAGGGAGAATGCCTGTACTGGGTCCTAGGTCAGAGTCCAAGGCCAAAGAAACACTCATTCTGGGGTAGGCAGCCCACAGCCATGGCCCCATCTGGGTCACCACCCATTTTTGTAGAACCCATGTGCTCAGGAAAGGATGAATCTTGCCAAGTGGTTGAGGGGCGAGGGGGTGGGGCTCTAAAGCAGGATGGTTTTGGAGGACGAGTAAAAACGATCTCACATTTGATGACCACTGTCCATAGATCGTTTCTTAGGGCACAGCTCCCCCCACTCCTCCCGACATGCTCCATGGCTGCCTTCTGGGTCCTTGGCAGAGCTGAGGGGCCACACCAGAGACTCCTGCCACCAGCCCACCTGCAGGAAATGTCAACAGATGCCACCCGTGGTGATTGCCGGCACTCGGAAGAGACCTAACGCTATGAGGGAGTGCTTCCACACCATTAGGAATTTCCTTGGAAAATGGTACCTCTCCCAGCTGACCCAGTGCCCACACAGAGGGGAGACAGGTTGACCACAGGGTCTCCTTCATGCCCTCCACTCAAAAAAAGACGGAGAGGTGAGTCAACCCCATGTGCTTGACTATAATCTGGACAGGTGGGTGTGATTAAGAGGACTTCCTGCTAGCATTATTACCTTCCATACCAGGGACCTGGCCACTGTACCCCCAAGCTCAGCCATGGCCCAGTGATCCCTGGAGGCTTGTGTGTTGCTATGATGCTGAACCGGTTTTGGTGGAACCTCCACACCAAGAGAGATGAGGAAGAAAAGCATGGTGATCTACAGCCTTCAAAAACCACATAGTTCACAGCGGTCCTGTTTCATTGTAACAAGGCTCACAGGAGTGGGGCCCGGCACAATGGCAGCTCATGATAACCATCAGCCTTCCTAGTGAGTTCTGATGGCATAACTGTGGTCAAGTTTGATTTGTTTCAATGCTTTCCTTCGACTTTCCACAACACGCCTATCAACCAATGCCAGAGCCACCTCTGCTGACCAGCAGGTATGGTAGAAAATAGAAGTAACGCAGAACGCTTTACGTCTCTATGAAATGTGCCCTTGAACTGTGTTGCTGGGGAAGTCTATTGAAAGTACCGTGGGCTGCTGACAAGAGAACAAACAGATCTGTCTGGGAAGAAGTTCATCTGGAATGCTCTTTAGAAGCAAGGATGGGTGACGTCCTCTCAGGTCATTTGGATGTGATCCGAGAAGACCAGTCCCTGGACAGGGTATCGTGCTTCGTGGAGGGACAGGAGCAATGAGGAAGAAGCTCACCAAGATGGATGGACACAGCGGCTGCACCCATGGGCTCAAACGTTGCCACGATTGTGCGGATGGCACAGGACCAGGCGGTGTTGCGTTCTGTGGTACGTAGATCGCGTCGCTATGAGTCAGAACAGACTCAGAACAGCAACGACGCTGGCGCACCAGCATCTTCACGCTGTGAATGCTGCCTCCCTGGGAAAAGCAAACCGTGGGAATGTAACTGAAACACGGTCACATCTAGACTTTGGAGCATCCAGTGTCCCCAGCTGAGAATGGGCAGAAGCCATCCTGTCTTCTGAACAAGGCGCAGCTTTTCGTCCAAAGCACCCGCCTGAGAGGAAGTTGGAAAATGATCCAAAGGAAAAGAGAATCCGTGTGTCTGTGTATGCAAATCAATCCAACGCTTCGGCCCAAGGCGTTCTGGGCTTTCCAGTCTGATGCCAATGGGTTCTCCTTGGCTGCCAACAAGAAGCTTCTGGGCCCGACTTCAAAGCCAGCGGGAGTCTCTGCAAGTCCTGTTTCCTGGTTACTGAAACTGCCGTGTTTAGGAGAATGGGCTTGTGGCCCAGCGTTTAGGACTCCATGCTCCCCGACTGGACGGGCCCTGGTGGCAGTCACATAATGTTGCTTCGCGAAGCCCTCACCGCCGTGAAGCCCCACTGCTTTGTTCTTGGGCTCGGTTTCCCTCCAGGCCCTTGCTTACCACACACGAGCCAGCCAGCTTCAAAGACAGAATTGTCCAGAAACCTGGGTCACTCATTTCTTAGTGGCCTATTTCCCACCCTGCACTCTTCTGCTCTGGATCTCGTGCAACGATGGCAACTACCACGCCTACCCTTCCATACCCCCACCCTCGCCCCCGCTCCAGAGTATTTGATTGTGATTGGTCCAAGCCAGTCACCCGGCTCAAGTCCCCAGCAGTTAGTCCAGGGGTAAAGATGTGACCTCGATTCCATCCGGCCAGTGTATGGACCCTGATTTGGGGGAGGATCCAAATACAGACGTCCCAACGCAGCATATCTGTTTCTCTGCCTTTCCTTCCTTCCTCCTTGGGACATCGGGACAGGGAAGTGATGTCTGGAGCCCCGGCAGCTCTTCTGTGACCTTGAGGTGACGCATTTCACAGTGAGAATACAGTATGCCAAAGATGGCAGAGGAGGAGCCGGGTCCTGGGTGACTCATGGAGTCACCGAACCAACTCTGCACCTTCCTGACTTCAAACGTCTGATTCCCCATTTTCATTGGTGAAGCCATTGTTACTCAGTTTACTTCCATGGAGATCCGGTCCTTACCTGTGCCATGACCGTGGCCACATCATTTAACCCTTGAGATGCTTCATCTGTAGACCGGGGACGATGGCATTTACCCAGAGCTGTCTCTGTACCTATTTATTGAGTTCACCTATAAAAAACACCTTGTATGATGCTGTACGGGAAGCTGGACATAGTCACATAGCTGCTCTCAGTGAGGGACCAGAAAATCATGCCTGGGGAGTAAACCGCTCTAATCGTAACATGAATAATAGTGCATGGAGTGAATTGAGTGCTGAAAGGGGACCAGGTTCTGTTCTGCGAACATGGTATGCATTACCTCACTTGCTCCTCAAAACGGCTTTCTGAAGAGTACCATGTTCCCCGGAGAGAGGAGAACACTGAGACGTGGTGATGTGGAGTGGCGGGTGCCCTGGGAGCCCCCAGCCCAGGATAGAGTCTAGATTTCAGCCCAGGCAGGCTGGCTCTGAGCTGTGTTCATCACTGCTCCAAAAACTGCCTCCGTCTCAGACATACCCACACCCACCACCAAGGACCTTTCTCACCAAAGGGTGTTTTGCAGGGACTCAGTCATGGGGGTACCCAAGCATCTGGTCACTGCCCAGCTGCCATCTCTGGTTGGGCTCCAGTCTGAGCATCACTTCCTAGAGGAGGGACAGGGTCAGGAAGTCATAACCCCAGAGCTGTAGGGTGGGGCCAGCCAGGTCTTCTGGAAGGTCTATAGATGGGGCCACACATCACATTTGCTCCCCAGCCAACCCAGTGCCCTTCTTCTATTAGATCAGTCTATGCTGATAGAACCTGCCTTGCCCCCTGGGGACCTTGGGGTGCATGACGCATCAGCTTCAATCTTAACAAGCTTCAAAAAGCTTGGGGGGCGGGGGGAGAGGAGTCTATT